TGATACAGTATTAATTGTTAAACGTAACCTAAAGAATAATTAAAAAATCAATGCAAGACTTTTATTAAATTATTCGATTCGCTTTGTTCCAAATACAAATAAAAATCTCAGAAATAAATCTTCATCTCTTATTATCAGTAAATAAGGAGAGAAAAAATATAACAATATCCTATTTTCATACTCAAAGGAAAGAGAATTAAATGTGTTAAATAATTAAAATATTTAGGTTTAACATTGGAGCTTAACTGGATACCAGATATACAAAATTAAAAAACGAGAACAAAAATTATTTTAGGTCATATTAATCTTTTGATGGTCATCAACAAACTCAGCTTGCATTCCAGTTACGCACACAATGCGCGCAAACGAACACAGCTCGCAGTAGAAATTTACGATTGACAGATATCACGCATATCTAGGAAGAATGAATTTCTTAATCTCGCAACCGCCGAAGGGATGAAAGATATCAGAGCATTAATTGGGATTACAACCCATACACACAGAAGCAAATATACAGCGTTATAATACTAGAAAAGACTGCTAATTACACAGTTGCTATCTGGGTATTTCTGATACAAAACAGAAAAATTAAATATGTGCTATGCATTGAACCCCCATTCCTTACAATTAACAATACTTAGCGCATTATGTCAAATGCTCCAGCTATTGTGCTCGCAAGTTTACTTGAGAGCCCAACAGCTGCAATAGATATTGCATACTGCAGTGTTCCATTGTACAGCATGAAGGAATTCTCATGACTGATCTATAATTCGAAAGGCAAGTAAGCCATGCCGGAGAAGAATTTAAACCACTCTTTTATGAATAAACCACAACTTTAGATAACAATCATCCGGCACACGAAGGAATACCTCAAAGTTTATTCATTATTAAAAATAATAACGATGCCCAGCTTGAACGTTTCATATCCCAGTCCCTAGAATCTACACCAAAGGTTCTAAAATTAGCGATAGTGTGGGATGCGCACTGGAGGCTGACTCTGTTTAGTATCAATGGTAACACCTTGACAATGAAAATGGTATATTCCAAGCAGAAGCACTAGGTATTATATAAGTAACTGAATGTATTGTAAACCAGTGTGGTCCAACCTTTAGTTGCCCGAGAGCCAATCAAACGTTAGTATAGGAGAGTGAGCGTCAGAGACATTACAGAAAGACAATGAATTACATATAAATCACTATTTTAATACATCATTTTATTTTACAGTCTAGAAATCAATGTGATGATTGGCACTGCTTTTTTGATGCAAGTTTATCAATGCCCACTATAATTTCAGTAGGGCAAAGTGTCAGGCTCGATCCCAGTGAAGCACTTTCAATGCTATTTCTCGTTTTCGATTTAAGTTGTTTGAGAGCAGAAAAAGCATTTTCACACATATATGTACTGCCAAGCAGCGATAAAATTTGCAAAGAGAATTTATGCAGTTTGAGAAAACGTTCTTTGGAAATCAGTTTCCAAAAATGTTTAGTGATATAACACTTTTTAGTCTGGTAGAATGAATCACCCTGAAGATTACGAATTTCCATTTGGGGGTTGTTTAGTAATGAAAGTTTTCTTTTTCGGGAGTTAAAATCCTGGAACTCTTTCTTGATATCAGTAATTATTTTATGAAACATACTACAATTTGTGTCATTTTCTTCTTTCAGCTGCTGGCAAAATGGGAATTATTTGCCTTCAGTGCAGTTTGCATTACATTAATTTTGTTTCGAAAGCCTTCAATATGTCCCTAAAGCTAGGATATATTTTGCTTTGAGCCTTGTAATTTTAAGTTTAAGGCACTTAGATGGGATGTTAAATCTGTCAGAACAGCAAGGTTATTTAAAAACTGGATTTCTTCCAATTTTTCTTGATACTCGTGCCCAATTGTTTTTTTCTGAGGAAATCAAGAATTTTATTTCTCAACACAAAAAACTGTTGCAGACTATTTCCAGCACTTAGCTTAGCCCGCGCACTTGACGGTACAATGAAATGTTACCATACTCAGCATCCGAATTGTCCACAAATGCAATAAATGCTCTCTGTCTCTGGGCTTTGCCTACTCTTATTAAATTTACAATATTTACAACAGTTTCCATAGTCTTGGCCGTATAATTTTTATTTAATTATTATATTTAATATAATTATTTATATTTAATATTTATTATTTAAAGCAGTGAGATAGGTCTTTCTTTTTTCCAAATGTTTAACTAACATTTTTATTTTCAAGTAAGAAGGATAAGGGCCAACCAAACAAATAAGAAGACCACATGCAGGCCGCAGGTTGAACCACGCTGTTGCAAACAATAACATTATTCATTCAAATATCTGTACTAATAGTATGCCAGTGCTTTTTACATTTTAAAAATATCCACAGACAACATTATTAATTTACAAGATTTAGCAATTATTACGAAAAAGGAAGAGAATTCAGGTCAATATTTGTTGGATAAAAACTCATTCTGGATCACATGCCAATGAATTGACATACGATCCAGGCGTTTAGCAAGAAAGGCAGCTGAAAGTTATATTGTGGAATACACACCCATTTCTTAGCCTAGATCATATCTTTAAAAATATCTCCTGACATGCTCACTGAAAAACTGGCAAGAAGGATAGAATTTTTCTGAACAGCTCAGATGCTCCTTTAACCATATGACAACAGGTGATCTAAACCGTCAAATTTCGATTCCGTAATTATCAAGTTACATAACAGGACATGATTTCTTCGCAGCGTGTTACTAAAAGCATAGATTTACCAATACTGATCATTGTGTCAGTAGGGACACTGGATCTCCAGATCGGGTTATGAGGAAAGAATCATCCGATTACAAAATTTAATATTTTCCTTAATTAGAAACAGAAAAATTATAATGAATATTTGATTTTAAAGAAGAAATGCTAGATTTTTAGTTTGTAACACTTTCTTTCCGCAACAGGAGGCAGCACTATTGTCATTAAGTTCTTTTTGAAATTTTGAAAAGAAGTGGAAGTAACGTCTAAGCAGGCGAAGGTTTTTTTGTGTGCTCTTCTTTTGCAAGAAATCAATTAGTAATAACTGTTCAGAGTGAATTTAAGAGAAAATACCATAGCACCGATATCTCAGAGTATCTGAAAGTGGTATAACCAGTTCCAGGAAACTGGATGTCTGGGTAAAGGCAAAGGTTCACGGCAACCTGGTGTTTTCAGCAGAGAATGTCGAAATAGTGCGAGATACTTTTTTACGCAGCCCGAGGAAATCAACGGTTCGTATTAGTCGTGAACTTGGAATACCTCAGCCTACGGTTTGGACTGCGTTGGGTAAACAATTGTATTTTAAGATTACAGATTGCAAAGCATGCAAGCACTGAAGACTGGCGACGAGTTTCAAAGCCATGCCTTTTCATGGATGAAGATACGTAAGACGAGCATTTCTGCAATAAACTTGTATTTAAGTGATGAACTCGCCTTTCATTAAGTGACAAAATAAACCTCTATAATATGTGAATCTAGGGGATCGGATCGCAAAATCTCTATGCCCATGCCTACATTGAAGGCGTAAGGATATCCCCAAAAGTAAACTTCTTTTGTGTAGTATCTTCATCAAATGTTTTTGGACCGTTTTAGCCGAAAAATCAGTGAATGGTATTACCAACCTCTATATGCTGGAAATTTGGCTTTTCCCTCAGTTGAAGGAAGATATGCAAAATTTCATTTTTCAATAAGATAGTTCATTGTCCCATTGGCTTTTGGACGTTAGTAAAGTTCTAAACAGATAACTACCGCAAAATTGGATTAGTCGGCAGTGCAGACGATGATTTGGTCCTGCACGGCAACCCTCTTAGGTCACTTGGTTTAACCCACATGTTATTTCTTCCTTTGGGGATATGTCAAAGATCTTGTGTTCAAACCATCTTTGCGTACAAGTTTGCTCAAACTTAAACAACGCATTTGTGATGCTTTACAAACAGTTGATAGTAGAACATTACAATGTGTTGGGCAAGAAATGGCTTATCGCATTGATATTATACGGGTGACTAAAGGAAGTCATATCGAAAACTTGTGGAAAAACATTTAACATTTTTTCTTTACAATGACATATTATTTATAATATTCTGTTTGTAATTATGGAAAATATTAAATTTTGTACTCGGATGGTTCTTTCCTGATAATCCTAACAGAATATCCTTTAACGAAACAGTACCGTATTAAATTTCCAGCAGCTAATGTTGTTCCTTTCAAAAAATTCCTTTCTAAGAACAGATATCTTATTCTTAAAAATCTGTAAAATTATGAATACGTTGGGAAAAGATATTTGGCATCCCGCTTTGCTTTATTTATATGCTCATACAGAGTCACTGTATTTTATGAGCATAAGGAGTAAAGTTGTTAAGACATCATGGTTATTTGTGAGATCGATTTTATGAATGTTTGAAAGAATCATATGGACTCCATAAACTGTAGACTTTATTTTTAATGCAATTGCATTTTATTTTTGTATTTTTAAATTCATCTTTCATGTAAATATGTTTCAGAATTTATACTTTTAAATTATGCATTGCAATATGAAAAACGTAACTAATTTGAATCTTGTTACTTAAAATTAAAATAAGTATAGTTAATGTTAAATTTGGGACAATACCTGTTAACCATTGATAAATATCATTAGTACCATTCATTGTCAACTGAAATGACTTGCAGACATTCCATATAGTAAAGACATTCTTCATAATTAAAATGCTGTGAAAGTACGTATTGATATGTTTCCTAGCTATATTTAAATTTCGTTGCTCATTTGAAGGATACATTTTCTTATCGCTTAATGTCTATGGCCGGCTATCATTTGATTAATGTTATCAAAATGGCCATGGACACAATGTGATCGCATTAAGCGGCGTCTACAACTGTCAACTTAATTTAATCCCATTATGTTTTAGTACTGTCTCATTAATAACGGTTAAACGTTTGTCTTGCGTAACATACGTTATCTGTTTGATCCTACCCTAAGAATTTTTATATGCTTTTAGGTCAATTTAGCTCACTTAATTTACAAGCCGCAGTTGGAAGTTCTTTTTCTGCTGTTGGTGGCAGTGAAGTGTTTGAAAATGAAAATATCGAAGTGGAAGCTGGAAGTTCTATCCTTGCAAATGGCCAATCTCCTTTAGAAGCGAACGTGAATTCACCGAATCTTCAAATCAACGATCTCCTGAAACTACTTCTTAACCAACAGCAAAATGTTAACACGCCATTAACTCAGCAACAGCCACAAAATCCAGTCGCAAACGGAAACTTTCCTTCGCAAAGTCAACAGTCTGCTATCCCTGAAGCAAGTCCTTGGAACAACGCTGCTCCGCTGCTGACTTCAAATTTACCTCAGCAGCCATACAACTATCCCAATTATCCGCCGTTTTACAATCCATCAGATTATTTCGCAGGAATTCCTCCTGACTATTTTCCAGCTTTGCCATCAGACTACTATCCAGGCGGGCCGTTTCCTTATGACTATCCTCAAAATCCATCATATAATTATCCAAGAATTCCTCCAGACTACTTTGCAGGAATGCCATTTCCTTATAACTATCCTCAATATCCTTCAGATTTTTCTCCTTACGATTATCACCCGGATGCGTCTTTTAATGATGCCTACTTACCACAAGTCGTCGATGGAAAAGAATCCCTCAATGAGCTCTCAAAGCAGCCGTTGGACGAAAAACCTCAAGAAGAAGTAGAAGCCACAACTATAGGTAAACTTGACTATCAAAGTAAGCTTTTTATATTTCTTGTTAATATATAGGTCTGCTGCGCGAAAATCAAATATCCTAAACGGTCAAAGCAAGAGTGTACCTATGCATTCCCATCCGATATTTGTATGTTTCTACTAGTGAGAGTGCTGTTTGGACTCCCAGGTCACCACAAAGATCCCTGCCAGCATTTTTAATGCAATGAGTAATTTAATGAGTCCATGATTAAGTAAGCAGGAATTAAGGGTGTGGCTAGGAACTTCGGGCGATTATGTTTTCATTCCTTGGGTTGGTGAATTGCGGCTGTAGGATATGGGTGCATCCAATTTGACTCTGCTGCATTTTGGGAGGGGGTTAAGTAGCGCGTGCCGTCCAACCACGTTTTCTCTAAGGTGTTTGGAATTACT